TTTATGCCAATACTAAGCTGTCTTCATTACTATAGCTCTATAATAGAACTTATATCAGAAGTGGTGATGTCCCCGGAACTCCCTTTATTGTACAGGGTTGTTTTGGCTATCCTGGATTTTTGTTTTTTCATTTAGAGCTGAGTATTGTTTTGTGAAGGTCTGTGAAGAATTGTGTTGGGATTTTGATGGTGATTGCATTGAATCTATAGATGGTTTTTGGTAGGATTGTCATTTTTAATATGATCCTATCTATCCAAGAGTATGGGGGATCTTTTCATTTTCTGGTATATTATTCAATTTCTTTCTTCAAAGACACCATTCCTCTTGAATAGGTCTCTCACTTCTTTAGTTAGTGTTATGACAAAATGTTTTATGCTATTTGTGGCTATTATGAAGGTTGATATTTCTCTGATTTCTTTCTCAGCATCTTTATCATTTGTATATAGGAGGGCTACTTATTTTTTTTTAGTTGATCTTGTACCCTACTACATTACTGAAGTTTATTTATCAGATGTAGGTGTTCTCTGATACAGTTTTGGGGTCACTTATGTGTACTATCATGTCATCTGCAAATAGCAAACGTTTGACTTCTTTCTTTCCAATTTGTATTCCCTTGATCTCCTTTTAAACAAGCTGGTGTAGCTATCCTAATATCTAACAAAACAGACTTCAAACTAAAATCCATGTTATAGAGGGAAACACACAGATACAGACAGTCAGCTGTTTTGCTGGTGACTTTCACCTGAACACTTAACTGTGTGCCAGGCAGAGTGGTAGGGAGTGCACACATAACAAGAAAAAGAGACACCAATCTTGGCTTAAAAGAACTCGGTATTGTTTATCAGATGTTCAGTAAGTATGGTTAAATTACCCTTGTCCTTATTTTAGTGATGAGAAACTGATAGCAGAGAGGCAACATGTTACTGTAAAAAGAAAACCAATCACTGAGAGTCTATGGTGAGGTCACCTTCCCTATTGGACTACAAGACTCCCTCCCCAGAAGCTCCTGACATGCTCCCAAATGTTTTCTCCTCTGCCTTCCCTAATAACAAGGGATATATTTCTCAACCCACAGGACCAAAGGTCCTTTCTTTCTGTCCTAAATCCCATGCTCTGTTAAAAACTAGAGCAAAGGGGAATGCAACAATTTACCCTCCCATCTCACTGAACTTTATCCTAGTTTCATGACTGCTCTTGGTATCTACATGGTGCTCTTCCCCTCTGACTTCGGATTCTTGGATGGTGACCTTTTGCCTCTTTTGCCTCAGAACCTATTCTTTTACCCCTAAAATGAGGGAATAGATGAAAAAGTTTTGGAGTTTGAACTTGACTCTCAGTTACAGTTGTGTCTTTTTTTCTTTCTTCTTTCTTTCTTTCTTTTTTATTATTTATTTATTTCCACCTCCTCCCCTCCTCCCATTTCTTTCCCATTCCCCCCACTCCTCATCCCCCTCCCTCTCCAGTCCTAAGAGAAGTCAGGGTTCCCTGCCCTGTGGGAAGTCCAAGGCCCTTCCCCCTCCATCCAGGTCTAGGAAGGTGAGCATCCAAACAGACTAGGCTCCCAAAAAGCCAGTACATGCAGTAGAATAAAATCCCAGTGCCATTATCATTGGCTTCTCAGTCAGCCCCCATTGTCAGCTACATTCAGAGAATCTGGTTTGACCACAAGCTCGTTCAGTCCCAGTCCAGCTGGTCTTGGTGAGCTCGCATTAGATCAGGCACACCGTCTCAGTGGGTGGACCAGCCCCTTGCAGTCCTGACTTCCTTGCTCAGCTTCTCCCTCCTTCTGCTCTTCATCTGGATCTTGGGACCTCAGTCCAGTGCTCCGTTGTAGGTCTCTGTCTCTATCTCCATCCATCGCCTGATGAAGGTTCTATGGTGATATTCAAGATGTTCATCAGTGAGGCTATGGACAAGGTCAGTTCAGGCACCCTCTCTTCTGCTGCCCATGGACCTAGCTGGGGACATCCCCTTGGACACCTGGGAACCCCTCTAGAGCCAAGTCTCTTGCCAACCCTAACGTGGCTCCCTTAATTAAGATATCTTCTTCCCTGTTCCCATATCCACCCTTCCTCCATCTCAACCAACCCACTCCCCCAAGCTCTCCCCAATCCTCCCCTTCTCCCTTCTCTCTCCCTCTCTCCCCTTCTCCCCAACCCCATGTTCCCAACTTTTGCCTGGTGATCTTATCTACTTCCAGTTTCCAGGAGGATTTATATATGTTTTTCTTTGGGTTCACCTTATTATTTAGCTTCTCTAGGATCACGAACTATAGGCTCAATGACCTTTGTTTATGGCTAGAATTCCCTAGTGAGTGAGTATATACCATATTCATCTTTTTTGGGTCTGGGTTATCTCACTCAGTAAAGTATTTTCTATTTCCATCCATTTGCATGCAAAATTCAAGATGTCATTGCTTTTTACTGCTGAGTAGAATTCTAATGTGTGTATGTGCCACATGAGAATTTTATATAATGTAATTGGATCATATTCATCCCCTCTCCCAATTCCTCCCAGTTCTGTGCCCCACTTCCCTAATACTCCTCTCTGTGTCTTCTTCTCCTACCCGAAACCTGTCAAGTTCAGTTTGTGCTGTCCATGTACTTCTGGCTGTGTGGCCATTCACTGCAGCAGGTTGATTTACCAGGGTTTTTTCTCTTTTTTTTTTAGGGCTCTTTGTTACTTAGTTTATCTAGGATCATGAACTATAGATTCAGTATCCTTTGTTTATAGCTAGTATCCACTTATGAGTGAGTACATACCATATTAATCTTTTTTGCATCTGGGTTACCTTCTTTGGATGGTGTTTTCTAGTTTCATCAATTTGCATTCAAAATTCAAGATGTCATTGTTTTTTTGTTTTTGTTTTTTGTTTTTTAACTTTCAGTAGTACTCTAACGTGTAAATGTGCCACATTTTCTTTATCCATTTTCAGTTGAGGGGCATCTAGGCTATTTCCAGGTTCTGGCTATTAAAAATAATGCTGCTTGAACATAGTTGAACATATATCTTTGTAGTATGATTAAGCATATTTAATTCTTTTTATATTTTCTCAATTGAAGGATTTTTTGTTTATTTTTTTAATAAAGTCTCTATTCTTCCACATCTTTTCAAGTTTCCTTAGAATCATCATTTTATGTTTTTTCTTAGGAATTCCATTGATTTCTTTTGTAACACTTACTGGAAAGATATTCTTTATTATGTTAGTTGTTTCTTTATTCTAATTGCAATGTGTGTGGTTGATCATTTGCCTCTGTTGCCTTCATAGGATAGTTTTTTTTTTCTTTTTTCTTTTTTGTCAACAGACTTTCTTCTGGAGATGTACCAGGGTGACATTAGGGTATTAATATGGGCTTCAGTTCAAGCATTGTAGTCTCCAAGAAGCTTCTTCACCTACAATATCAACATTGATGACACCTGTGTATGTGCGTGTTTCAGTGGACTAGCCCACAAGTATTTGTGTTTTTTTTTTTCCTGACAGGTCCCCTTAGGAAGTTAGTTATCCATAGCTGTGAGGACAATGCCTGCTTTTGTGACTCAGCGTGGGTAGCTCACATTTTAGTTTCTGTTGTTTACACCAGGTAGGGCAGATTTGATGAACCCAAAAAAGCAAGGCATGAATGACACAGCCCTGGAAGGAAGGATGCTAGTCCATTTTTGAGAGCCTCAAGGGACGAGGCTGCTGAAAGATCACAAAGGCACATCATTAGGTGCATAGTGGTAAAAAAGGCCACAGCTTTGTGACAGCTGTGTGTACCAGGACCCTCGGGAGGGTTTTCAGGACAGGGTTTCTCTGTGTAGTCCTTGATGCTCTGGAGCTCTCTTTGTAGACCAGGCTGGTCTCATGTAGATCCACTTGCCTGTGCCTCCCGAGTGCTGGCAGTCAAGGTTTACATTACCTTGTCCAATCTCTGTAAGTTCTGATCAGACAACACAGAAAGCCTGGCAGCAGGAATGTGGTACTCTTCATTGTCTGTGCTGTCCGTGCATGGCTCCAGGGACAGACCTGACTGGGGTGTTGAGGGAATGAAGAAATGACAAACACATACACAGAGACACAGACACACAGGTATAGCTGGAATTCAGTGGACTGGGGTCTCTGGTGGAGAAGCTGAAGTTCCCCTTCACAAGCTCAGTGTGTTTGTTTATATGAACAGAGAGGCAGGGTTTTTCACAATACTCAATCGGGAGTGGGGGGCAGGTTTAATTAATCACGGTAGTCAAAGATTCTTTAGGTGAGCTTTCTTCATGCTCTCCAGGGGGAGAAAGACACAATAGATGCTTTCTGCACACACTACCAATATCTGTACATGAACCAGAGGAGGCTTTGCTGTTCCTCTGAGATTCACCTCAGGAAAGTGAAGCTTTGCCATTTTCCTACAGCTTTGAGGCCAGGCTCCCTGACATGGCCTTGCCCGTGTCAGCAACACACATTCACTCAAGCTTCATCTATTTGGGTCTTTTCCACTCCTCACAATCGTCTGAGGACCATGCAGGGGCTAAGGTACAATAGCAGACTCAGCTAGGAGACCAGTCAATGTTCATTGGTTGCACACTGTTTCTCCATGGGGACTTTACTCACTGAATTGATCGCGGCTGGCTGCCCAGGTACTCCTAGGGCTTCTGATGGGAGGAAAGAGCCTCTAAGCTGTTTCCTAAGGCCTTGGTAGGGCAGGTTGCTTTGTGGAATTTAGGAAATTGATTGGTGCTGATTGGCTACATTGTGGGAATCTGGAGAAAGGGTGGAGCGCAAGATAGTGTCCTGCAGGAGAGGGCTGAGTGATGGCTGTGCCTGAGTTAATGCTGTAGTGTGAGATTACCTGAGAGCACTGCAAACTGGGCTCTGGCTTCTCTAAGAGCAAGTGTTTTAGATGCTTGTGTGTTGCTTTCATTGGTTAATGAATAAAGAAACTGCCTTGGTTTGATAGGGCAGAACGGAGGTAGGTGGGAAAGATGGGACTGAATTCTGGGAGGAAGAAAGCACAGTCAGAGAGAAACACCATGGAGCCACCAGAGTCAGACATGCTGAAATTTTTCCTGTAAGCCACTGCCACGTGGCAATATACAAATTAATAGAAATGGGTTGAATCAATATGTGAGAGTTAGGCAATCAGAGGTTAGAGTAGTAATTTAATTCATACAATTTCTGTGTGGTTATTTTGGAGCTAAGCAAGCCAGGTGGCAAGGATGAACAAGAGGGCCATCCTTACTACATCTGCTCTGTGTTGTGGCTTCATAAAAATGGTCAGACCCTAGCCTGACATGTAGTAGGCACCTAATAAATGGTATCTCTTATTATTAACAGCATAATAACATTCTGAGAGTCAGGCAATAGACAGTCAAAAGGCTACAGTAAGTAGCTGCTGCCTATATGACTTCGTGGTGGCCTGGGTTCACTGTTCTTGTTTCTGTTCCACAGGTGTCTGGGTTAGACACTGTTCTCAGTACCTGGCTACTGGAGCTGTTGATTATGGTGGTTAAAATACTTTGAATGTGACCAAGATCTCAGTGTCACTGTCAGTGCACCAACAGCGGCTAGTGTCCCAGATAGGGGACATCAGGGAATTCAGGCCTAATGTGGAGGTGAGTCTGGCTGCCTCGTGACCTCTTGTCATCAGCCTCTTTTCTGCTCACAGGCACCCTGATCTCTATGCACATCTATGCCCTCAACAGGAACAGCGCTGTGAGGCCTGACCCAGAGGTACTCAACTGTGGCTTTGGAAGGCAGACAGGGTGTGGGCTGTGGGGCTACCTCTGCCAGGATTTGGTAATAGTAGACAGAAACTGCTTGTTTGTTTCTTGGCTGCCTAGAACCAAATAATAACACAGAAACTATATTAATTACAACACCATTTGGCCTAGAGTTTAACTTCTTCTTGTTAACTAACTCTTACATCTTAAAATGATTATTTCTTTTAATCTGTGTTTTGTCATGAGGCTGTGGTCTACCAGTAAGGTTCTGGCTGGTGGCTGGTGTCTTTCTCCTGCAGCTACATGGCATCACTTTGGCTCCACCCACTCTCTCTCTGTATCTCTGTTCAGATTTCCTGCCTGACTTTCTACTAAGCCATTCCCCGAAACAGCTTCTTTAATAACCAATGGTAATAAAACATATTCATAGGATTCAGAGGGGATCCCACATCATCACCCCTTTTCTGTCTAAATAAAAAGGGGGGTTTTAGCCAGGCGGTGGTGGCGCACGCCTTTAATCCCAGCACTCGGGAGGCAGAGGCAGGCGGATTTCTGTGAGTTCGAGACCAGCCTGGTCTACAAGAGCTAGTTCCAGGACAGGCTCCAAAACCACAGAGAAACCCTGTCTCGAAAAACCAAAAAAAAAAAAGTGTGGGGGGGGGGTTTAACTTTAACATAGTAAAATTTCATTTATTGATTGCTTCTCTCAGTGTCTGTTCTACTGGGGTTATATTTAGAAAGTGGTCTCCTGTGCAATGTGTTGAACCATCCCTGCATCTCTGGGATGAAGCCGACTTGATTTTCCACTGGATGATTTTTTTTTTTTGATGTGTTCTTGGATTCGATACATGAGGGAGATTGATCTGTAATTCTCTTTCTTAGTAAAGTCTTTATGTGGTTTTGGTATCAGGGTAACTGTAACCTCATAAAAATAGTTTGGCAATGTTTCTTCTGTTTCTATTGTGTGGAAAAATTTGAGGAATATTGGTATTAGATCTTTCTTGAAAATCTTGTAGAATTTTGAGCTGAAACCATCTGGCCCTGGGCTTTTTTTGGTTAGGAGACTTTTGCTGAATGTTTCTATTTCTTAACAGTTGTAGGTCTATTTAATTTGCTTATCTGGTCTTGATTAAATATTGGTAAGTGTTATTCATCCAGAAAATTGTCTGTTTCCTTTAAGTTTTCCAATTTCGTGGAGTACAGGTTTTTGAACCATGGCCTAAACAATGCTTGTTGGGGACCCTTCCCCAACTTCCTCTGTTATGGATGACCCTAGGTAGCGCCGCAGAAATCAGAACACAGGGGATGCAGAGTGGGAGATACAGCTGCATACTTTATCGCAAAGCCAGTACTCTTTTTATAATACTCAAATCACGATTCAAACTAGGATCCCATAATACATGAAAATACTTTCATAGACTAGTAACTTGGTTGCAAATAATTTCAAGAGCTTCGTGCCCTATCTAATCTAAACAAAAAGTCTCTTGCCAACCCTAAGGTGGCTCCTTTAACTAAGAATTGTGCTTCTGTGCTCCCCTATCCAACCTTCCTTTATCCCAATCATCCTTTTCCCCCAAGTTCCCCCCCCCCATCCTCCCCTTCTCCCTTTTCTCTCCCCATCTCCTCTTACGCCCATCCCACTCCACCCCCAAGATCCCAATTTTCTCCCCGGCAATTTTGTCTACTTCCCATAGCCAAAATGATAACTATATGTTTTTCCTTGGGTTCACCTTCTTACTTAGCTTCTTTAGGTTCACCAATTGTAGACTCAGTAACCCTTATTTATGGCTAGAAACCAATTATGAGTGAGTACATCCCATGTTCATCTTTTTGGGTCTGGGTTACCTCATTCAGTATAGTGTTTTCTATTTCCATCCATTTACATGCAAAATTCGAGAAGTCATTGTTTTTTACCACAGCGTAGTACTCTAATGTGTATATATTCCACACATTCTTCATCCATTCTTCCATTGAAGGGCATCTAGGTTGTTTCCAGGTTCAGGCTATTATAAATACTACTGCTATGAACATAGTTGAACAAATGCTCTTTTCATATGATAGGGCATCTCTTGGGTATATTCCCAGGAATGGTATTGCTGGGTCCAGGGGTAGGTTGATCCTGAATTTCCTGAGAAACCTAAACACTGATTTCCAAAGTGGTTGCACCAGATTGCATTCCCACCAGCAATGGATGAGGGTGCCCCTTCCTCCACAGCCTCTCCAGCAAAGGGTATCATTGGACCAGTTTTTGATTTTAGCCATTCTGACAGGTGTAAGATGATATCTCAAAGTTGTTTTGATTTGCATTTCCCTGATCGCTAAGGAGGTTGAGCATGACCTTAAGTGTCTTTTGGCCATTTGAACTTCTTCTGTTAAGAATTCTCTGTTCAGTTCAGTGCCCCTTTTTTTAATTGGGTTAATTAACATTTTAAAGTCTAGTTTCCTGAGTTCTCTATATATTTTGGAGATCAGACCTTTGTCTGTTGCGGGGTTGGTGACGATCTTCTCCCAGTCAGTAGGTTGCCTTTTTGTCTTAGTGACAGTGTCCTTTGCTTTACAGAAGCTTCTCAGTTTCAGGAGGTCCCATTTATTCAATGTTGCCCTTAATGTCTGTGCTGCTGGGGTTATACATAGGAAGCGATCTCCTGTGCTTATCTGTTGTAGGGTATTTCCCACTTTCTATTCTATCAGGTTCAATGTGTTCTGACTGATATTGAGGTCTTTAATCCATTTGGACTTGAGTTTTGTGCATGGTGATAGATATGGGTCTATTTTCATTCTTCTACAGGTTGACATCATTATGCCAGCACCATTTGTTGAAGATGCTTTCTTTCTTCCATTGTATACTTTTAGCTCCTTTATCAAAAATGAGGTGTTCATAGGTTTATGGGTTAAAATCCGGGTCTTCTGTATGATTCCATTGGTCGACTTCTCTGTTTTTATGCCAGTACCACACTGTTTTCATCACTGTAGCTCTGTAATAGAGTTTGAAGTCAGAAATGGTAATGCCTCCAGAAGTTCCTTTATTGTATAAGATTGTTTTGGCTATCCTGGGTTTTTTGTTTTTCCATATAAGGTAGATTGTTGTCCTCTCAAGATCTGTGGAGAATTTTGATGGGGCCTTGATGGGGATTGCATTGAATCTATAAATTGCCTTTGGTAGAATTGCCATTTTTACCATGTTGATCCTCCCAATCCAAGAACAAGGGAGGTCCTTCCATTTTCTGGTATCCTCCTCAATTTCTTTTTTCAATGCCTTAAAGTTCTTGTCAAATAGATCTTTCACTTCCTTGGTTAGAGTTACCCCAAGATATTTTATGCTGTTTGTGGCTATCGTGAAAGGTGATGCTTCTCTGATTTCCCCTCTCTGCTTCCATATCCTTTGTGTATAAGAGGGCGACTGATGTTTTGGAGTTGATCTTGTATCCTGCCACATTACTAAAGGTGTTTATCAGCTGTAAAAGTTCTTTGGTGGAGTTTTGGGGGTCGCGTATGTAGACTATCATATCATTTGCAAATAACGAAAGTTTCACTTCTTCCTTTCCAATTCGAATCCCATTGATCACCTTATGTTGTCTTATTGCTATTGCTAAAACTTCAAGCACTATATTCAAGAGGTATGGAGAGAGTGGACAGCCTTGTCATGTTCCTGAGTTTAGTGGGATGGCTTTGAGTTTCTCTCCATTTAATTTGATGTTAGCTGTTGGCTTGCTGTATATAGTTTTTATTATATTTAGGTATGACCCTTGTATCCCTAATCTCTCCAACACTTTTATCATAAAGGGATGTTGAATTTTGTCAAATGCTTTTTCAGCATCTAATGAAATGATCATATGGTTTTCTTCTTTCAGTTTATTTATATGATGGATTACATGGATAGATTTTCGAATGTTGAACCAGCCCTGCATCTCTGGGATGAAGCCACTAGATCATAATGGATAATTTTTCTAATGAGTTCTTGAATTCGGTTTGCCAGTATTTTGTTGAGGATTTTTGCGTTGATGTTCATGAGTGAGATTGGCCTATAATTCTCTTTCTTGGTTGAGTCTTTGTGCGGTTTTGGTATCAGAGTAACTGTAGCTTCATAAAAGGAATTTCGCAATGCCTCTTCTGTTTCTATATTGTGAAATACATTAAGGAGTATAGGTATTAAGTCTTCTTGGAAGCTCTGGTAGTCTTCTGCATTGAAACCATCTGGTCCTGGGCTTTTTTTGGTAGGGAGGTTTTTGATAACCGCTTCTAATTCTTCGTGACTAACAGGACTATTTAGATTGTTCACCTGGTCCTGGTTTAACTTTGGTATATGGTATTTATCTAAAAAAGTGTCCATTTCCTTTACATTTTCCAGTTTTGTGGCATACAGTCTTTTGTAGTAAGATCTAATGATTCTCTGAATTTCCTCTGTGTCTGTGGTTATGTCCCCTTTTCATTTCTGATCTTATTAATTTGCAAATTCTCTCTCTGCCGTTTGATTACTTTGGATAGGGGTTTATCAATCTTGTTGATTTTCTCCAGGAACCAGCTTTTTGTTTCATTGATTCTTTGGATTGTTTTCTGTGTTTCTATTTTGTTGATTTCAGCCCTCAGTTTGATTATTTCCAGTTTTCTACTCCTCCTAGGTGAGTCTGCTTCTTTTTTTTCTAGAGCTTTCAGGTGGGCTGTTAAGTCTCCAATGTGTGCTTTCTCTGTTTTCTTTAAGTGGGCACTTAGTGCTATGAACTTTCCTCTCAGGACTGCTTTCATAGTGTCCCATAAGTTTGAGTATGTTGTTTCTTTATTTTCATTGAATTCCAGGAAGACTTTAATTTCTTTCTTAATTTCTTCCTTAATCCAGGTGTGGTTCAGTAGTTGACTGTTCAGTTTCCATGAATTTGTAGGCTTTCTGGGGGTAGCATTGTTGTTGAATTCTAACTTTAATCCATGGTGATCTGATAAGACACAGGTGTTTACTAACATTTTTTTGTAACTGTGGATGTTTGCTTTGTTACTGACTATGTTATCGATTTTCGAGAAGGTTCCATGAGCTGCAGAGAAGAAGGCATATTCTTTCCTATTTGGGTGGAATGTTCTATAGATGTCTGTTAAGTCCATTTGATTCATTACCCCCATTAATTCTCTTATTTCTCTGTTAGGTTTCTGTCTGATTGACCTCTCCATTGGTGAGAGAGGAGTGTTGAAGTCTCCTACTATTATTGTGTGCGGTTTGATGGCTGCCTTGAGTTTTAGCAATGTTTCTTTTATGTACGTGGGTGCTTTTATATTAGGGGCATAGATGTTCAGGATTGAGACTTCATCCTGATGAACTGTTCCTGTTATGAGTATAAAATGCCCCTCTCCATCTCTTCTGATTGATTTAAGTTTGAAGTCAACTTTGTTAGAGATTAGTATGGCCACACGTGCTTGTTTCTTAGGTCCATTTGCTTGATAAGCCTTTTCCCAGCCCTTTACTCTGAGTAGGTGCCTGTCTTTGTGGTTGAGGTGTGTTTCTTGTAAACAGCAGAATGTTGGATCCTGTTTTCGTATCCAATCTCTTAGCCTGTGCCTTTTTATAGGTGAGTTGAGCCCATTGACATTAAGTGATATTAATGTCCAGTGGTTGTTAACTCCGGTCACTTTTTTAGTAGTAGAGTTTGTGTGTTTCTCTTCTTTGAGTTGTGTTGGTGAAGGGTCTCTAGATGTCTGAGTTATTGTGGTCATTGTTGGACTCCTTGGTTAGTGATTTTCCTTCTATTACTTTCTGTAAGGCTGGATCTGTGGCTGCGTATTGTTTAAATTTGTTTTTATCCTGGAAAATTTTATTTTCTCCATTTTTAGTGAACGAAAGCTTGGCTTGGTATAGTAATCTTGGCTTGCATCCATGGTCTCTCAGTTTCTGCAGTACATCTATCCAGGACCTTCTGGCTTTCATGGTTTCCATGGAGAAGTCAGGTGTAAGTGTGATAGGTTTACCTTTATAAGTAACTTGGCCTTTTTCCTTTGCAGCTCTTAAAATTCTTTCCTTATTCTGTATGCTTTGTGTTTTGATTATTATATGGCGAGGGGATGCTTTTTTTTTTTGATCCAGCCTATTCGGTGTTCTGTATGCTTCTTGAACCTTCATAGGTATATCTTTCTTTAGGTTGGGAAAGTTTTCTTCTATAATTTTATTAAATATATTTTCTGGACCATTGAGCTGCACTTCTTCTCCTTCTTCTACTCCTTTTATTCTTAGGTTTGGTCTTTTTATTGTGTCCCAGATTTCCTGAATGTTTTGTGATGAGAGTTTGTTGGACTTGCTGTTTTCTTTAATCAGTGTGTTTATTTTCTCTATGGTATCTTCAGAATCTGAGATTCTTTCTTCTATCTCTTGTATTCTGTTGGTTATGCTTGTTTCTGTAGACTCTGTTTGTTTACTTAAATTTTCCATGACCAGCCGGCCCTCTGTTTGTGTTTTCTTCTTTGCCTCCATTTCAGTTTTCAAGTCTTGAACTGTTTCCATTATCTGTTTGATTGTTTTTCCTTGATTTTCTAGGGTATCATTCACTGATTTATTCAATTCTTCAAACTTTCTGTTATATTTCTCATCCATTTCTATTAGGGCATTCTTTACATGCTGTTTAAGGGTGTCAATCACTTTCATGAAGTCAATCTTTTCTACTTCTTTTTGATTAAGGTGTTCATATCCTCCTGTTGTGAGGTCGCTGGTTTCTGGTGGCTTCATGTTGCTTTTCAGATTGTTGGGTGAATTCTTGCATTGGTGTCTGTCCATCTCTTCTTCCAACTGCTCCCTTATGGATCTTCTTTTACCTGATCAGGTCTCCTTGCCTACTGATGTACCTTCCCAGTGATGGCTCTCCCTAGTGTTGGCTCTCCTGGTGCCGAGATCAGATCTCCGTGCCCAATGATGGCTTTCCCCAATGCTGGCTCTCCTGGCATCCAGATCAGGTCTCCGTGCTGGTTGGGTAGCTCGCAAACAAAGTGCCTACCTTGCTTGGTGCAGGCAGGCTATAGAAACAAAGGAACTCCCGCCCGCTTGGTTGCCCTGAGGATTCGGACCCAGTGCCCAGACAGGCTGGGCTGGGTGATGTTATGTGCCGAAAGAAGGCAGGGAGGCCGAAGTGGGGAGGGTTCTGGATGCAAGCTGGGTGGGATAGGAAGAAAGAGGCAGCATGCAGGGAGTAGAGGCCCTGCAGAGAGCCCAGGAAGGATAGGGGGCTGAGGAACCCCTGAGTTCCCTGTCCCAGGCTGGTGCCGCGGGGTCAGAAACTCCCCCAGTGGGACCCTTTACCATGCTCCTAAGATTTGCATTTTAAGCCCATACCAACAAATCAATCATTCATTCTGTACCCACAAATACTTACTGCTGGTTTTGTGGGCCTCTAAGAACACTTGGTAGCCAACAGCTTGATGCCTTGTTTTGCTGCTTGCTGCAGGATCTGCATTGGGCAGCAGTTCGCCATGAGCAAGATGCAGGTGGTCACAGCCCTTTGTTTGCTGTGCTTTGAATTTTCTCTGGATCCCTCAAAGCCCATCAAACTTCCCCAGCTGGTTCTGCACTCCAAAAATGTCATCCACCTCCTCCTCAAGTCACTGGGATCTGGGAAATAGGTTTGGATAAAACAGCTTGGATAGCACAGGCTGTGGCTTTTCCTGGGACCTTCCCTTTTAGATTGAGTGTGGTGTCATCATGGATCCCAGATTTTGGGGGGCTTAAAGATGTGAAAGCATTAGGGCTGACAGTCTCATGGAAGGCAGTCCCTTGTAAACACGTTTGTCTAATGACTCAATGCCTTGACTCTGGAGCTCATTTCTTCACTCCACAAACATTTTTTGAACATCTGGCTGTCACAAGAAGCTGCACATCTTTCTTGTAACTCTATGTCTTTCTAAAACAAACAAACAAACAAACAAACAATCAGAACCACACATTCCAGGCCTTGAAAAACCTTAGTGAAGACAATGGCAATGTTGCCTTGAGATCTGTGGAGGAGGGATGCAAAGGGGGGATGGCTTAGATAGAAAGTGGCCCTTCATTAATGTGCATGTCTTTATCTGCTTCTGTGTGATCTGGAATATAATGAATATACATAAAAATTAATTAAATCTGTACAAATTAAGAATAATTATAAAAACAAACTCCCACAACCAAAGTGACAGAACATGAGCAGTGTCTCTACTGGTGTGACATCTTCCTTGGGACATTTCTGTGGGACCCTTGTCCTTTCTAACAGTGGTGTCTCATAGTCACACAGTGCTCTGTCCTTCACAGTTTTGCTAGGGAAGGTGCTGCAGTCTCCATAGAACTCTCCAGAAGAAGGTTCATCATACTAACAACTTGGTTTTCTGGAAGGGACACCCATTTCAGACTTCTGAAATCCAGAGCTGTAAGATAACTTCCAATTATTTCAGACCACCAATGTTGTGTCAGTTGATTAATTGTGTAATGAGAAAGTCATGGAGGGAAAAAAATAAGATGGCAGAAAGATAAGAGGCAAAGAGAGGAGGTTAGAAGACAGAGAAGACTAGGGATTAGAAGCGAGTAGTATTAAACAGAAAGACAATAGAGAATCTAGAGGAAGAATAGAGAGTTGAAGAGAGATAGATAAACAGACAGACAAACAGATAGTAATAGAGTCAGGGATAGAGGTACACACACACATAAACGGGGGGGGGGGGGTGCAGGAAGCACGGGAGCAAACCGGAGAAGAGGAAAGCTGAGCAGATAGAACGCCAGATGGTGACAGGAACAGATGACATGAAGATGGGATGTCAGGCAGCATGCTCATTGAGTCTGTCCTGTCCCTACCAGATTTAGTGAATCTTCTTGAGATGCAGGTAGATCCCATTTTTGGGTTTTAACACAAGTCATATTGAGGGGATGGGCACCCTGGTACAATCTGGCAGCAGCTCAAACCAGAGTGGGGTCAGGGCTACAAACCACCTTCTGCTCATTCGTAGCAAATTGTTTTCCAGTGCAGTTCCTGGGTCAGAAAGGGACAATGAAACTCAATGACCTCTGACCTGAGCAGGGAGAGGTCCCTGAAATAGCCCAGAACAGCATTCAGGGGCTATCTTTACAGATCCAGTCTAACCTCTGAAATGTCAGGTCATGCCTACATCTTCCCCAGGCTGTGGCTCTCCTGACTTTTGATTCAGCCTCTATATATTTCAGGGCTACTTTGACCCTAGTTCTTTTAGAGTTATGAAGTCTGTTAGGCCAGTATTCTAAGCATTAGAGCTCAAAATTGTGAATTATTTACTAAGTTAATCATTGCTTACTTTATTCCATCCAGGTGGATCTCGGGCATGGCTTCCAAGGAGTGGAGTCAGATTTCAGTAGCAAAGTTTCTAAGGAGGACTGTGTTGGAGATCTTCAATCTGCTGTCCCATCTGGCTCCTACTTAGGGTACCTCTGCCTCCTTCATTGGCATCTGTAACCATCTAACTATACTTCAGAAATGTCCCTTGTTCCTGCTTCAGTTTTCTTTCCTGGACTTCCCTGGTCTCCCTGACTCCACCTCCGCAATGATCCTCTGTACCTCTATCAGGCAGGACTATATTCAGATGCCTAGCTGCAGCCACACCCTTGACTGGCTGGTGCCCTCATCTATTTTCTGCCATCACACTTCCTACTTCGGATCAAGTTGCTGATGTGTTGACAATGTCTCCTCCCCCTCAAGCTGCATAGCACCAAAGCTCAGGTCAATGAGCAGCTCCTCTCATTTCTTTGTGACTCTCCGTGTACTTCTGGGGCATCCATGGCCCCATCAGTGTTATGTTTAATGACATGCCACAGTCAGGGCATGGGATGATGTTAGAAACACCACATTTCTCAAACTGCTCAATGAATAAATGAAAAAATTGAGGAAGAACTTATTTTGACTACAGATATATTTGTCTTTGTGGAATAACGTTTTGAGTTGGAGGAAGGGGTAGGAGAATATCATTCATTCTCATGCTTTTATCTAATATAGAGCCTGGCACATAAGAATGCTTTAGTAACTTATTTTAAATTTAAAACAGCCATTTTTACTTGGCACCAAAATATAATTCACTTGAACTTAAGGAATAAAAATGGAATTAAATACAATGGAAATTACAAAGAATATGACCAAAGTAACGTGTAGTGGCATGTACTTTTTGAGGCTGGGGAATCATGAACTCCCGGCAAGCCTAAGACTGTCTCAAAAGCAGCATGTTTCATTACAACTTAAGCCGAGTTACCCAAGACTCTCTGTCTTCTGCATCAGTGACATGATTTGCTGTGAGTTGTGGGGAGGAGCATTCAACCTCAAGTACATCAGTGCTAGACAGCCTATGTTGGAAGAACAACTGGCTTGTAGCCTGCTCTGTGAAATCTGATTTTCCACCTGAGGAATTCATGAATTCTGAGCCTATGAAGTACAGGCTCAGAAAAACTTGCTTCTGCTTTGTCTTTTAAAGCTAACATGGAAAGCAGAAAAAGACAAGATCTCCTGAGTAAATTGGGAGTATGGGGACCATGGGGGAGGGTTGAAGGGGAGGGGAGAGGCAGGGAGAGGAGCAGAGAAAAATGTAGAGCTCAATAAAAATTGATAAAAAATTAAGACATTTTTAAAAAGCTAACAGTGAGTCAGGTCCCATGGGAGACTTGAGAATTTTAGTAGAAGCCATCGGAAAGCCTTCAACTGGTTCAGTAACTATTTCAAGAATGTTTTATATTTCACTCACCAGTAATCTTAATAATCCTATGTGCTTTGTATAAAACAGAGGATTTTCTCAGAAACGTTTTATTCTCCTCCACTTTAAGGCTTTTTGTCTGCAGACAGACCACACAGCCTCAAAGTGTGACTTTAAGATATATATATATATATATATATATATATATATATATATATATATAATCTTTCAAGTTTGGCATTCAGCAATTACAAGAGGAATGTGCACATTGGCATTGATTCTCTGATTGAGTGGGAGAGATTACACAGGTGGAAGCTATGGACATGGAATAAACTTTTCCCTTAAAAGACTTTCTGTAACACCTCAAGTCTCTGACTGGACAGTTGTCCAGGACTGACATCCAACAAACTTATCACTTTCCACAGTGATTCTCAGGAAGGATGCTTGGCCTTACTGAGGTATGGAAAAAAGGCATGACACATAAGAACCCTGAAACTTGAAAAGCTGGATGCTAAAGTTAAATTCACAGGATAAAAAAATCAAATTACAGTCCTGCCCCTAACATATGAGAACATGTAAATGAATGAGAGCCAGCTGCTCATTCCTGACCTTTCGGAATGTGGAGCCTGAGTGGGGAGGAGACATTTTCAAGGACATCGAAAACTTGATCTGAAGTAGAAGGTGAGATGGGCAGAAAAGAGATGAGGGCACCAGCCAGTCAAGGGTATGGCTGTAGCTAGGCATCTGATGGAGGTACAGAGGATCATTTTGGAGGTGGAGTCAGGGAGACCAGGGAAATCCAGGAAAGAAAACTGAAGCAGGAACAAGGGACATTTCTGAAATACAGTTAGATGGCTACAGGTGCTGATTAAGGAGGCAGAGGTACCCTAAATAGGAGCCAGAGGAGAAGCCAATTGAAGATTCACTACACAGTCCCCCTTAGAAATTTTGCTACTGAAATCTGACTCCACTCCTTGGAAGCCATGCCCGAGATCCACCTGGATGGAATAAACTAAGCAATGATTAACTTCGTAAACAATTTACTAGTTTGAGCTCTAATCCTTAGAATACTGGCCTAACAGACTTCATAACTCTTTTGAAGTTATGAAGGGTCAAAGTAGCCTTGAAATACGCAGAGACTGAATCAAAAGTCAGGAGAGCCACAGCCTGGGGAAGATGTAGGCATGACTTGTAATGACAGAGGTTAGATTGGACCTGTGAAGGTAGCCCCTGAATGCTGTTCTGGACTGTTTCAGGGACCCCTCTCTGCTCAGGTCAGAAGTCATTGAGTTTCATTGTCCCTTTTTGACCCAGGAACTGCACTGGAAAATAATTTGCTATGAATGAGCAGAAGGTGGTTTGTAGCCCTGACCCCACTCTGGTTTGAGCTGCTGCCAGATTGTACCAGGGTGCCCACCCCCTCAATATGACTTGTGTTTCCCCCCTACCTGCATCTCAAGAATCTCACCTAAATCTGGTAGGGACAAGGACAGATTCTATGAGCATGCTGCCTGACATCCTGTCTTCATGTCATCTGTTCCTGTCACCATAGACTTTCTATCTGATCATCTTTCCTCACCCCTTTGCTCCCATGCCTCCTGGCCTTCTCCCTCTCTGTCTTCTCTCTCTCTGTGTCTGTCTGTCTCTCTCTCTCTCCCTCCCTCTTTCTCTCTCCTCCTCTCCTGCCTCTTACCTTTCTGTTGTCTTATTTTCCCTACATGATTCTTCATTACACCAATAACCAATTGTCACAACCTTGGTGGTCTGAAATAACTGAATGTCATTATCTTACAGTTCTGGATCTCAGAAGTCTGAAATGGGTGTCACTTGCAGAAAACCAGTTGTTGGTGAGACCAACTTTCTGGAGAGTTCTCTGGAGAGTCCTTCTCCTCCCCCTTTCAGTATAAGCCATCATTCCATGTCACTGGACTGTCACCCTGCTTTAAAGCCAGCATTTCCCCAAATACTCTCTTCTAATGTCTTTCCTTTTTACAAAGACTTTTGTGACATCATCAAGCCCACTAAAAAAATCCAAAATAATTTTACCAGCTTACTATATTTCTCAATCCCTTTTGAACATTCATGAGGAAAATTCACGGGCTCCAAACTTAGGGCTTGAACATCATTGTGAAGCCATTGTGAAGCCTGGCATAGTCTTTACATGACTGCCACCTTTTCAGTTTCTCTACATCTCTCCTGCATAGTCTCTCTCTACCTGACTGTCTTCACACAAGTTTCTCCTTCCTCCCCATTGTGGACAATAAAGTTCCCAGTGTCATACACAATGTTTGCCATGTTTCCATATTCAAACTGCTCGAGTATCAGGATCTGTGATGCCATGGACAGATTTACCTGCTATACCATGTTCTGTTTCTTAGAATGGGCTTTCCTGGAATCTACTGTCTGCAACCAGGACCTCTTTCCCAACCTACCACTTTTCTAGGCTATAGCAGGCCAGTTCTGAGAAACTGCAGGAGAGACCGGACTGAATATTCAGTACCTGACCAAGGGGAGATCTGGGCAGGAACATGAGCCCAAATCTTTGTACTCAGAATGACCAAGCAGTACAGAAAGTCTCATGCTGGCCATGCTGAGAGAACAAAGGAAAGTGAGAGCACAGAACAGAATGCTGGGTACCCAGCCGAGGACACACACACTAAGCACAGGATTCCAAATGGGATGGCTGAGTTCACAGTCCTGAGCATTCCCTTGCATGATGCATGCAAAGTGACATTCATGCAAGTGCTCTCTACACAGCCACAGCACATTCCACCCACACGTTGCATGCCCAAGAATAGGGAGCCTCGGGTGTGTTTGAAAAGTCAGAAAGATGGGGGCTGGACAGATGGCTCAGTGGTTAAGAGCACTGACTGCTATTCCAGAGAACCCGGGTTCAATTCCCAGCACTCACATGACAGCTCACAACTGTCTGAAGATCCAGTTGCTGGGGATCTGACACATTCACACCAACACACATAAAATAAAGTTAAATAAACCATATTTTTTTTAAAAAAGGAAAAGTCAGAAAGATGAATCTGTGGTCATCCGTGATGGCCACTAGTTCCAGCATCCACTCAACTCACCCAGGAGGTCCCAAAACACACACGCACGTGTGCACATATCAGATTCAGAGGTCTTGGCTTTATTCCAATTGATTCCTACAATAAAGGAGACCTGACATTAATGATGGAGTTTTGAACAAAAGACATCAGAGTCAGGAAGCCTCCGCTAAAGTTCCTCCTAGATCAATGTCCCTCAGGATCCTTACCTTAGTATTAAAATGCAGTCAGAGCTTTCTCTTATCAGAGAAGGCATGCCTCCATCCTGTCCTGACCTCACAATGGCTAAAACACCTATGATCTAAAATAATATAATTTAGATTCAGGTGCCACCCAGAGGCACATAATGGTTATGACTGCAGAATCGGCACTGAGTGATAACTTCTGAATCTTTACTACATTTGTTCAGAGAGGTCTATCTGGTGCTAGGACAAAAAGCAAGGCAGCTGCCTTAGGGCTCATAACCAACAGGCACAGTAACATGGGAACTTCTCATTAAGCTTCAAGTATATAAGAATATCTAGGTCTTGACGGGGATTAACAGTTGTTAACAGGAATCCTGAGGAAGATCTGTCAAGATGTAACCTTCTTACAAGAGGGAAAGAATCTTTGGTAGGGAGAAAGTATATGCCATATAATCCAGGACATCCTAGAGCAGAGGTTCTCAACCTTCCCAATGTTGTAACACTTCAATACAGTTCCTCATGTTGTGGTGACCCCATCATAAAATTATTTTCACTGCTACTTCATAGCTGTAATTTTACAACTTTATACCTGTAATATTGCTACTGTTATGAATAGTAATATAAAATAATCTGTGTTTTCTGAGGGTCGTAGGCTAATACCGTGAATGGGTCATCCAAAAAACCCACCTGCATCCCTGCTGAGTACAGTTGCCCTAGAAACTTCACCAAGTCCTAGGAACAGAACTCCTAGCTCCTGCCTGTGATCCTAGTTTCTAGTGCTGTCCCTTCCCTATGGGGCTAATTCCTTGATTGGAACCTCTTACTGAACTTAGACCTTGAACTCCCAGGGAAATACTAATCAGTCATCATGTGGGCCCCACCCTGACCTCTGCCCCACTGGGGTTAACTCCTGGATTGGAACCTCCTACCGA